ACCGATAAGTCCATTTTAGCGAATCAGCGCGCTGTATTCAGGTCAGGTGACAAGGCTACTTTCACTTTGAAAATATGAGGTTCCATTTGTGTCAAAAATGAGTCGACTGTTTTGTGCTTTGTACTATACATTTGTCTTTGTCTACAGTCATTGCCTACTTGTTCAGGTAAATCAGTATATGTAGGTGTGTATGTTGTCTGTTGACGTCATCTTAATCTGTCGTCCTGCTTGCTTTTTCTCTGTCGTTTAATTACTGTCGTCCTTATTGTCGTTTTGTTCTGTCATCTTGTTCTGCCGTCCTAACTGTCATCTTATTCTGTCATCCTTACTGTTGTCTTGTTCTGTCATCCTAACTGTCATCTTGTTCTGTCGTCCTAACTGTCATCTTGTTCTGTCATCCTTACTGTTGTCTTGTTCTGTCGTCCTAACAGTCATCTTGTTCTGTCATCCTTACTCTCGTCTTTACTGTCGTCCTAACAGTCATCTTGTTCTGTCATCCTTACTCTCGTTTTTACTGTCGTCCTAACTGTCATCTTATTCTGTCATCCTTACTGCCGTCTTAACTGTCATCTTATTCTGTTGTCCTTGCTGTCGTCTTGTTCTGTCGTCCTAACAGTCATCTTATTCTGTCATCCTTACTGTCGTTTTTACTGTCGTCCTAACTGTCATCTTATTCTGTCGTCCTAACTGTCATCTTATTCTGTCCTCTTTACCATCGTCTTGTTCTGTCGTTCTAACTGTCATCTTATTCTGCTGTGCTTAATGTCGTCTTGTTCTGTCATCATAACCAAAAATCAGCCCCGGTAAAGTTAGTTTCACATTTCATATTCGACTACGCTGCTTTAGGGACCGTCTGCAAATTTACCTCACAGTACAAAACGAAGTATAATAATTAATTCAAATGAATGTTTAGAAAAAAAAAAACGACTGTAATTCACCAAAAAAGGCTTTTTCATGTTCGAAAGGTTGTAGTATGTTCCTAGATACTGACATGTGATATTTTGGCTGTATCTCTCGTCATATAGGCCTATGTACAGTACACAATTATTTTCATAAAAATTACTGTACGCAAAGTTTTTTTTGTAGGTTGTAGTACATTTGCAGTTACAAGACTGATTTATGGTTTGTGAAATTTTGCTCATACCTCCTTTACTGTATGTACAGTACACAAATATTTTTAGAAAAAAATATAGTAATTTATCAATAGGGTCTTTTTATGTTCCAAATGTTGTCGTACATTCCTAGTTATGAGACTGACTTACTACAGGTGATATTTTGCCAATATCTACTTTACTGTATGTGCAGTACACAAATATAATTTTTTTTTTACTGTAATTTATCAAAAGGGTTTGTTCATATTCTAATGCTTGTAAT